TTATAAAAGTTTTAGAAACACCTCTTACGTGAATATTTTCAAAAATTAACAAGAAGACGTAAAGCTCGCTTGAAACAGCCGTGTGATGCAACAAAATAAAAATGCGCACTTATTTCAGAAAAAATGAAAATTTATCACTAGATTTGAAACCATATTATTGATATTATATAATAGATTTGATATATAGATGAATATACATATAAATATATAGAAAATATAAATATATAGATTTGAAACTCTATTATTGATATTATTATACATCCTTAACATTTAGAATAAGTTGGTAGATTATTTAGTTTCTCTTTGTATAATAGATTTTTTTTGTTTTTAATCTATTGGCCGCACATTCTGGATAACAGGCCTTGCGATAAAGCGTCGGGCGATGTGAATTTTACGTCGTCCAAGGGCGATTTTGCGTGTAGCTAGGGCTATTTGCGTTGAGCAAAAAATTTTTTGTTTGAGTATATTTAAAGATATTTTTGAGCGGAATTTTAATGAAGTAATTGACGATTATTTTAACATTTAATCAAGTATTTTAAAAACCGCATGCAGTTGAAATAAAAGTTTGAATTTAAAAAAATTAAATATGCTCATTATTTTCAAGTAGAAAAAATTCAAAAATTAAAAAAAAAAGTTTAAATCTTTTAAGCTAACATTTTAATAAAATTATTCAGCAATAGCAACGTTGTCGATAAAATTGAACAAAAATACTTTCTTTTAGTTTTAGATTTTAAACTTAAATAATTATTTTACAGGGGTTTGATAGGTTTTAAAATTATTCCATAGATTTAAAAATATTTATTAACTGTTAGACGTATTTAAAGTATTTAAGAGTGATTTTGAGGAAACATTTTAAAAATTGGTGAGGGCAAATAAAAAAAAAAAAAGATTAATATTAAAACGTATTCTACTTGATTCAATGAAAAAGTACAGTTATTAAAATTTTTGTAAAAAGAACTCAAAAAAATTACTTAAATAATAACTTTAAATTACATATTTAAGAAAAAAAAATCAAATATTAGCATATTTTATAATCTTTTTTAAATTTAAGTTATAATGTTTTTTATTCGTTTAGTATAGACAAAACGAGAAAATAAACAAATGTTTTTACATTTTAAAAAACGAAACATTCCAAAACATTTTTAAATAATAACATTTCTACATAAACGATTTAAAGTAGTTTTGCGGTAATTAAATAAATTGGTGCAGTTAATGTCGATAAATATGAAAAGCAAATAAAAAGAATTTAATGACGTCAAAAATCACGTCGTGCTTATGCGTCGCGCAGCTCTTATTCATCGCAAGGCCTGGGATAAATAATATTTCAACTTTTTTATTATTATAAAGTCTACTGACTTCTTAAGGTACTATGCAAATAATCAATAAGCACTCTTCATTCATCACTATTTTCATTTTAACTTACCTGTTTGTAAACTTTATATACTGCAGCACCATCAAAACAAGTCTTGCATCTAAACGTCAGTTTAGTTAATTCAATAGCATTGTGATTTTAGAACATCTTTTAGCAGCATTTGTACTGAATAGCCATCTATTTGAATGTTCTTGGGATAGCATTTAGCTTTTGAAGATCTTATACCATTATATGTGGTAGCCATTTTTTCACCACCATTCCTTAGAAGCTGGTACATTGATTTTGATATACCACCATTAATAATTAATGCTAAAGCTTCATCAAGTGAATATATCTAAGCATATTTAATGGGGTTTTTATTTCAAATTTCAGAAATTTTTGTGCCAGTTTTGTACTTAAACTCACTTCTTAGTTTCAATTTTGTTGCATGAAGTAATTTATGGCTAAATAAAACATTGTTAAGCTTATTCTTTTTGTTCTGTTACAAGGTTTTTTAAAAGAGCAACATGGTTTCCTAATTTCATTAACTGATGATGTAACATTTAGTGTACCGTAGGTGTATTGAAAATCTTGAGCTAGCCAATTTTCACTACTTCTCTCAAAACAAGTATTATCATTGTTTGCAGCTATCAACTTTTTACATTATAATTTTATAAAATTTTTCACTCCTTTAGTTTAATATATTTAGAATCCTTTAGTTTAATATCTGCAGAAACTAGAACAGTTAATTTCGATGAAAAGAATGGTATATCATTAGGAACTAGTTTTTGTAATTTGTTTGTAAGCCCATAAATGTCACCAATTTTTATATTATTACTAATCAAAAAAATAAAAAATTGTTAGGTAAACAGTGCAATTTGCATTGAATTTAATAACAAACAAAATAACATATATTTTTGTTTACAAAAAATAAAAGTTGATTTCAAGCAAATAACATAAGTTACAAGTCAAAATTTTAAAATGTTAAAGAATCCCAAAAGGGGAGGTTAGAGGCAATGTATATAGTTCAATAATTTAATATAGGTTCTTGTAGTTTCCATAAATTATGTGACACTTTTTGTACAAAATAAAAGTATTAAATGTTAAAAATTTACCTTGTATTTTAATTTTAAAGCCAGATGATAAGTGTATTATAAAGGCTGATCTTTACTTTATACTTTTGTCGTAAAGCTTTACAGTTAAATAGTTTAAATATATAAACTAATCTTGCAAGCTCGTAAAATTTTAAAAGTTACTGTTTACTATAGCTATGCATAAAAAATAAAAATTTCACGTTTTTTTTTTTTTTTTTTTTCCTTAAAAATTTTATTATACATGAAACCACAACTGATTTTTGCGGAAGATACTACTATACTCAAACAATTTTTAAAATTTTAAATGAGAATATTACAAATGTTTCATTATATGGTTTTGAATACAATAAATATTTATTTTTTAGGTTTTGTCTACCACCTGGCCCACTTTTTAACAATTTCTTGATTACACTGGTGTAATCAAGAAATTGTTAAAAACATTGCAAGATCCAATATTTGTGCAGATTTTGCAGTAAAAACTGTTCAAGAATTTCTGGCTTATGCAAAAACTGAAAAAACAATCAATAAAAAACTAATTTTTTGTAACAAAATTAAAAAGTTATACTAGTACTATTTTTTTAAGCATCTAGAATTTATTAGAAACATACATGACTTTATATTGAAAAGGCCTAAAATCATTCAACATTTTTTTTTGTTGCATTTTTTAAAAGTTTTTTATTATATAATTAAGATATCTTTTATTTTCAGCCTAAAACTCATTGTGTGGCACTGAGGCCATACAAAATTTATAACACATTGTGTGGCACCGTGGCCATACAAAATTTATAACACATTGTGTGGCACCATGGCCATACAAAATTTATAACATTTGTGTAGCACCGTGGCCATACAAAATTTATAACACATTGTGTGGCACTGTGGCCATACAAGATTTAAAACTCATTGTGTGGCACCATGGCCATACAAGATTAAAAATTCATTGTGTGGCCATACAAGATTTAAAACTCATTGTGTGGCACCGTGGCCATACAAGATTTAAAAAAAGTTATCACCCTAATGAACATGTTTTGAAGAAAATTATACCGTAAAGCAAGATTTTTTCAAAGTTTTTATTCTTTTTCTTGTGTCTTTTCTATTTAATATAGAATCTTTCTTAATTTACTATATTTTCCTTTACTATTCTTATTTAATACTATAGTACTATGAAAGCAATAGTTTTTTTAACTTGAGTTAAGCTTGCTTAGTAAATTATATGGGTTTAAGGTTTACCAAGTGTTTTATAGTTATTATTAGTTTTAAGATAAAAGAGTGGCTAATATAGTTAGTCTGTATTTTCTAATAAAAATCTACTTTTGTACCATATCAAGAAGAAATTTATTTTCTGCATGATTTGAAACTATCCAAAAGTGTGCAAGTAATTTTTAAATGAGCAAGAAAAATGACTAGAGGCATTATTATGTGTTAATAAATAAAAATAAAAATAAAATGAGAGGGGGAAGGGGCAATAAAATATAAAACAAGTAGAGACATTCATAATGTAAATTTAAAAAAAACCCACCAAAAAATATTAACTACCCAGTAAAAAAAGGCCAAAATCATAGATTATGCAACCAGAGAAATGTCCCAAAAAAGTTTTAAAAATCACAAAATTATTACTTATTTCTGTTATTAAGTGTTTATGATTTAGGGTTTAGGAACTAAATAGTCGTCACACTGTTAAAAAGTAACACGTTTTAAATATTTATGAACACCAGAGTAATAAATAGTGATTCAAAGCAAGAACTCTTTTTTGGAATGTTTTGGAAGTAATTAGAAGTAAGATTTTCTTAACAATAAGGATTGTTAGTAAATGGAACAGTCTGACCAATGAATATTAATAATTTTTAACATTTTTTAATAATTTTTAACACTTTTTTTTTTTTATTATTATAATTGTTATTATTAATTAATTTTTATTATCATAACCAAGAAAACTGATATTTTTTTTTTTTATAAATGTGGCAGTAGTGTAGTGGCAGAGCACTCCTTTAGTAAACAAGAAGTTTCGAGCTTGGTAACTTGTTTCTCTACACAGCTGGTAGCTTGTTTCTCCACACAGCTGGTGGCTTGTTTCTCCACACAGCTGGTAGCTTGTTTCTCCACACAGCTGGTAGCTTGTTTCTCCACACAGCTGGTAGGTTATTTCTCCACACAGCTGGTAGCTTGTTTCTCCACACAGCTGGTAGCTTGTTTCTCCACACAGCTGCTTCTTTGCCAATGTTTGTGTTTCAGAGTTAAAGAGTTGAATAACCACATTAATTAAAAGTTATATAACAATCTGGTTATATAAACTTTGATTGTGGTATTAATTTTTCCAGCAGCTTTTCAGCAACAATTTATCAACGATTTGTAAATTTTTTTTTTTTAATTTACAGAGGTTATTTTTTTTTAATTAAAACTTTTTACTTTTGTTTACTCAACTTAGCCATTAAAGTTATTATTTTAAGCATAATAAAAACAGCTTTTTTAGTAATGCTTTACCTTATTGTGTGTGTATTTACATAAAGAACTTTATCTATACAATATTTTCTGAACCAAAAAAAAAAAATTCAAACCATTCCAATAACTGAAAAGCCAGTGAACACAAAGTTTAGATCATCTCCTTTTGAACAAGGATCTGTTTTACCATCTATTTTCAAATTTATTTCACTCGGCGCTAAACAAAAAATAATTTTTTTTTTTTAAGAATAAAAAATTAGTATTCAACTAAAGGACAGGGAAATAACATTTGAACAACAGTGGTGTAAATTTGATAAATTTGAATGAGGTTAGGATGAGGGGGGAAAAGGGTGGAAACTATTCGTATTATAAAAATAATATTAACAACCAATAAAATAATATTAACCAATAAAATAGCATTAACAACCAATAAAATAGTATTAACAACTATTATTCTAATCTTTAATCTCTAATTCTGATCTTTTAAATATTTTCATGTTTTAAGCTACTTAGTTGACTTGAAAAGGAAAATAATTTATTATTCAAAACAGATTTTTTTTTCTGGCAGAATTTAAAAAAAAAAAAAGAAGCATTAAAACAATTTTTTTTTTTTTTTGACGATAACTTTTAGAAAATATAAATATTTTTCTAAAAAAAAAATTAATAATTAATTTAAATATATATCTTTATGATAATTTTTATTTGAGGGTCAAGAATCTCCTAGATATGCTTTATATTTATTAAAAATAAAAATAAACTTACAAAAACTCCATCCTTGTGGTGGATTGATTTGTAAAACATATTCTCCCTAAATTTAAAAAAATATATTCTCTCTAAAATTAAAAAGCATAAATATTACTATAGAAATTGTTCTGTGTGATTCAACTCAATTTTTTAAAAAGGTATTGTGTAACTATTGTTTATATAAAAATAACAAATCCCCCTACATATGGATTTGCTCAACAAATAAAAACCAAAACCAACTCAAACAAACTTTAAACACAACCAGGATTAAAACTGATTTAACTGACACTCCTTATAAATCCATTTTACATAAAACCTTGATAACCAAAATTATTAACACTCTACACTGTATCCATCAATTTAAATGAGGCTGACTCTAGTTGAACATGTAAATTAATTAAATGTTAAAATCATTTTGAAACATTTTAATATAACACATTTAATATATCAATCAATAGAATTTTTATATATAAATTCCTTTTTTTTTAATTGTTAATGAAATTTTATTATATGTAATTCATTATATAACATATGTTAGGTCATTTAAATTAAGTGAAGAGGGAAAAAACCCACTTTATGTACAATTTTAAGAAAGTATTAACTTTTGTCATGTATGTAAAAAGTATGTAATGATGGTACACAAAAGAAGTGAAAGTCAAAAAATAAAAAGTTTTTGATAAAATTTGTTTACAAAAAATAAATGCAAAAAATTTCAAATAACTGAAATTTTTGTGATTTGCTTGAAAACAATTTTAAAATTTCAAATTAAAAATTCTGGATTAAGTTACAATAACAATTTAAATAACTAATAAAACAAAATTAAGTTTGATTGTTTTTTTTTAAAAAAAAAGAACAACAAAAACAAATTTATAAATATTAAAAAATTATTTTTTAATTACATAACTATAACGAATTAAATACATAAACTGTTTAAGCTATAGACACAGAGTGTAAAAACATAAACTGATTTATTTAAAGATATAGTAGAGCGTACATATATTCACTGAGGGTTTTGATTTGGACACTGCTCAGGCAAACTATCAACTAAAACTCAACCTTGCATTCATCGTCTTTGAGTCGCATCAATTTACTTTCAAATTTAAAAAACTTTTATATAGTGCTATTATATATTTATATATATTTAAGTTATTATATATTTATATATATATATATATATATATATATATATATATATATATATATATATATATATATATATACATAACTATATATAAATGCATGTGTGTGCATGTGTATGTGTGTAACCAAATAGTATTTAATGTGGTTAAAGTACATTTCATTATTGGAATTGTAAGATTTTTTTTTAGATTTGCTTTATATCATAACAACAATATAAATTTCTTACATTCTAGTTCATTACTTAAATTTAATTTTTTTTAATTTTTTTGACAAACTAAAAAATTATTATAATAGTAAAAAATATACAGTACTATAAACTTATGCATCAATGTTGAGCACTTTTTTTATAATAATAGATTATCAAAAAATTATTGATTTGTCATAGTTTCTTGACTATGTACAAAACAACAAATGTTGAGTTTTAAGATAAAAATATTCAGGCTCTATAGAAAAAAATAACTAAAGCTTTTATTTAGAATTTAAAGAAGTTTTTCTGCTGCCAGCAAGATGTTAGGAAAAGTAATGCCCAATATTTAGATTAGAGTTCTCAAAATGAATTTATCAAAGAATGCTGAGTAATCATCTACGGTAACATTATTAATGAGGCTCATACAGCCATTTACTATTTCATTCTCATTAACTGAGCAAATCAACTTAATTCTCTGATTTTTCTACTATGATGTTGATAAAAGATGGGTAGTTAAGGAAAGTTTTCTCAGGGTGAATCTATAGGCAAGGTAATAATGGACGTCTTGGATCAAAATGACATCAATTTTCAAAAAAAGTGGAGGTCAAGCATATGACAATAGAGCTAACATGTCTAATATGTACAAAAGAATAGAAATAATTATATTTCAGATGAATCATTAAGCTTTTTATATGTCATGCAGTGCTCATAACCTTAACCTTACCGGTGTTCATACCGTTGAATCTTCTGTTAAAGTGAAGAACTATTTTGGTTTCGTTCATTTACTTTATAATCTTTTTAGTGAAAACCCTATTCAATCAAAAGTCTCAGCTGTGAAAACTGCTTTGTCTTTTTATCAAACTTGCAAGCCCAATGTAGTTCACACATTGAGGTTGTGAAGCTGGTAGTTATGTGACCTATGGATGTCCTTATATCTTTGCAGAAGCTTCAGGACCTTGATCTAACTGATGATATAACTATTGAATGAAGTAAAATCTCTAGAAAAGTAAATTCAGCTGTTTGAGTTTATCATTATGAAAAACTTTTGGTTCATGTCTCTTTAAGCAATAAAAATGTCAGTGTCTCACTTCAATCAAAAAATATTTCTTTAGATGAGATGAAACTTATAAAGATTTTTATCAAGAAACTCGGTCTTCTAGGCCTAAACTCATTAATGAAGCACATTTGATTGAGCAAGCTATGGATTTTCAATCTGAATTTTGGTTTAAATTGGCTCAACTCGTTTCTCGGCGCAGCGGCCTTGTTCGCCAAGATTCGTGTTTTGAGGGTTATAACCACAAATAAGTAGCCTTCTCGACTGTAGTGGCCATCTCGGCCTTGAGGAGTGAATTAACAAAAACAAAACAAACAAAAAATAGGACAAAAAAGAGAAGGATCTTTAACAAAAAAGCCAAAAACAAAGAAAACACAGAACGAAGAACAAAGCTAATATCTATAAAAATGAAGAGAAGTACTTTGAAGTGAACATATTAAATATCACTCTCAATACTCTAACTCAACAAATAAAAGATTTTTAAGCTGCAGAAAAGTCAATGAACAGATTTTCATTCATATGGTTCTTAGAATCTGATAGTAGGTTGAGTGAAGAAGTTAAACCAAATAGACTGGAGGAGAAATGCAAAACTGTGTAAATTGTGAACAAATTGTGGTGTATTATGTGAACAATATGGATGAAAAGAAACTTATTAAGAAGAGAAGTTATTCACAGAAAAATCGTCATTAACAGAGAGGTTGTTTATCTGAATAAAATGAAGTGTGCTAATTTTTTCAGCCCAAAAAAATTTCTCACTTCAAAAAGAAGCTATGGAATAAGATCTATCAGAAAGGCCTAAATTCTCTATTGGAATCAATATGCTATTTGTTAAGCATTTTTAACATGATTCCGGTTTCCATCACTGAAGAAGTGTGGTCATTTAGTAACCTTTCTCTAGACAAGACAGTGCTAAGATATACAATGATTTAAGTTCAGCTTACCAACCTGCAAGTGAAAAAAATCTCAGAAAATCTCTGTGCTATAACAAAGTTATTCCTAATTTCACTATGAATAAAGTTTGGATAGTCAATTTCTAATGAAGGAGACCATTGAATGGCTATTACACTTACTACTTTACAGTACTAGTAACTAAGTTACTTGTCTGTTTTTCTATTTATTAATTTATTTATTTTTGTTCAGTTTTTCTAAAAAACTGTAGCCTCCTAGTAGTAAAAGAGATATCTTCAACTGTGGGTCGGTGAATTCAAAAGAGATCTCTTCAACCATGGGGAGGTGAATTCAAAAGAGATCTCTTCGACCGAGGGGAGGTGAATTCAAAAGAGATCTCTTCAACCTTGGGGAATTCAGTAAAAAAAAGTTCAATTCTTTTAGCGTTTGGTGATCAAACTTTTTCAGGCCTGCATGTATATGTATATTTAACAATATATTATTACTTATATATAATCAAATTCAATAAATCCTCACATTATCATAAATAGCAACCAAAAAATATCCATTGTTTGGAGCACATTCAGTTTTGAATTTAAATGCACCAAGCTTTGTATAAAGTTTTACCTAAAAAAAAAAAAGAACTAATATTAACAAAAAAATTTTAACTTCACTTTACTAATTTATTCATTTTTAGGACATATTTGCAAGTCTTAAGTTATTTATCTTGTTTTATATATCCAATCATTTCCTACATTTTCATAAATTTTTTTGGTATACTTTCTATCTTAACCATTTCTATACAATATACAATCTTAATAAACTCAGAAAAGTCTTTTTTTACTCTTGCAGTACAACGGTTTGGGTAAAGATATACCATTATTTTTGAGAAAAAAGGCTTTAGTTTTCAAATAGCAGTAAAATTAGTAATGCTATCAGATTTGTTTAATATTGTTCTAGCAGTATGTTACAGTAGCTTGTTCAAGTAATTTGTTCTACTAATATGTTGAACCAATTTTTTTAAATCCAGTAACTTGGTGAAGTTAATTAAGGTTAGATCAGAACTAAAATCATTATGATCACACTGTTACTAACAACATGCATTGCAGTACAACTTCCCTTATGTCTTGCTGCTTGTAGGATTTGTTTTTCTATAAAAGGGCAACTTCTAAGGTTGCCTCTCTCATTTCTTTCTCCTTTCTACAGATATAAATCATGATGCTCAAGTGAGCTATCAATATTTTAAATAGTGGGTAGTTGCAGTCTTGTTGGAAGAATTTGTTGAAAAATATTGGTTAATATAAAGCATTTTTTAGAGTCTAGAATAATTTTTAAGAATCACAAATTTTTGACCAAAAATATTTTTAAGACAGATTGTGTAAACAATATTTTAATCAAAGGAATTTTCATTACTATATTAACAATGTTTTGAAAAAATATTATCCCCTCTATCCCTGTTGTCAATAACTGTCAAACTTTTATTAACTCTATTAACATAATTAAGCTAAACCATTTCTACTCACACCTCTCCCTAGCTCTCAACTCAAGATAAAATTTTTGGGAAAAGTGAGTTGAGACAATTGAAAATTATCTTATTCAATTTCTTACTAACTGTTTAACTTGTAAACTTCTTACTAACTGTAGTAATAAAATATATTTGCTTTTTCTCCCTGTCTTCTGAATATCTTTACTCAATATTTATACATTTGCAAAATACCCCCGAGAGTATAATAAACAATATAAACATTACGCACAATATAATATATACGACGCGCCCACAACATTCCTTCTGACGCAAAACGTTAATAGTTTATATACAATACAATTATTTACACTAATTACAACACCCCTTGATCTCTAGATCACAAAGTCCACATACTTATTCGGAAACTTCCGCACTTGCGTCGATCTTCTGAGATTCAGGTTGTTCGCGGTGGGTTCTTCCGGTTCTATTGTAGACAAGTCAGCTACAATGGGAGCTGGACGGACGTCCGACATGTGTCTTGATAATCCATTGATTTCTACCGAAACTCCTCGTCCTTCCTCTATTCCATTCGCTTGTACATTTTGAATCAGGTGGTTTTACAAATACTTCTTGTCCTTGTGTGTAGTTGTGGAGAACTTCCTCGTTAGTTTTGGCAAAAATTGTGTGTGGTTTCCACTCATAGGAAAATATAGCTTTGTAGGGGAGCGATGTTTTCTCAACATTTTTTCTGGGAGCCACATTATACCAATATAAAATTTTTAACGGATCTTTGCCACTTCTTGCTGCCATGCGCTTGATTGTGCAATGGTGACGCTCAACAATTCCATTTCCAGATGGCCTGTAAGCACAACGAAACAGGATGGACACTCCTCATTCTGCGCATAATTCACCAACGAGTTTTGAGCGAAAGATCGTCAAGAAGAACTTGCCACAGAGGTCCTCTTTCTCGAAATATTTCTTCTAGATGGAAACACACTGTTGCTTCTTTCGTGTTTTGTAGCTTCCTCCAAATTGCAAACTTGCTCCTTTTGCCACAGTCGATGATAGACAAAAAAATCTCTGATTTATAGTGGGTAACGTCAATAGCTAAACGGAACCAGCTTTTTTCAACTTCAAGATTTCCTTCTTCCCATCTGATTGGAGCAGGATCTACCGATAAACATCTTTTGCAACTTTTTATGACTGATGTATTTTCTACAAACTTTCTCCTTCGGATATGTCTGTTTCATCAAATAAAGGGTTTGATTTACTCCAAAGTGATGAAGATTATGAAACAACTTCACAACAGGCGGTACAAGATTTGCTATCATTGCAGAATGGTTTGAATGCAGCCAATTCTGTGGTACATGTGCAGCCAATTCTGTGATACATATGTTTGAATGCAGCCAATTTTGTGGTACCCTCGTAAGAGCATTGGCTTTATTTTCTGCTGACTTAACCAGGGAAAGTTTTAATTGTATACCACACTCCTTCACAAGGTCTTCAATTAACAACAACCAGCGACAGACAAGTGGTTCTCCAAGACTGTGTACTCAAATGGGTTTGTCACCGATGATTAAGGATTTCAACCAGCCAACAACAGTAGCGGAGTCACACTTTATGGTAATACATTCGAATCCCCATTTTGTTGCTAGATTTATTCCTTTTATCACAGCTTCTAACTCTGCGAGATTAATGTGAGCCGCATCATCTTGTTTTCTCAGCCAGGAGAAGTCTTCTTATATTTCTCCAGCCACTTCCAAAACTATGCCAACAGCTAAACTGCTTGCATCACACCACACTGTTGCTTCAGAAGTGTTTTTTACGTTCCATGACCCATGAACAGGATCTTCCTTTGTAAGTCTTTCATTTAAACTGCTTACTAATTTGACAACACGATCGTTCACCAAAGTGTCCCATCCACAACTACTCGAAACCCTTTTTAGATAGCTGCACGAAGGGCGCAACCAATTTGCTATTGGAAAATGTCTCGTCAGCTGTCCGCACCAAGAAAAGATTTGCCGACGCATCATTTTTCTATCAGGAACTTTGGGTATGTTGTCACCTTTCCAACGCACTTGTTTGTTTTGTTTGTACACTCGCAATCCAAGCACACGCCCACCGACAAGTTTTTCTGGCAGCTTAGAATCCAAGCCATATTTTTTCAAGAGTTCTTGAACTCTACAACTTGACACTATGTTATTATTGACAATATTTTAGGGCAAAATCTTCCTTAGGAATATTAGGATTTGCCCTTCTTTTATTTGAAAATATTGGTCTTCAGTTTTTTTCCATTGATTTTTAAGTTATTGCTTCTTTATTATTGTTTCTGGGCTTTCTATTTATTGTATTAAGTGTTAAATACTTTAAGGTTCTAATTATAGTACTTTTATAACATCCAACAATATTTACAATTGTTTGGCAAATTAGGATTTTTCATTTGAGCATGCAAAGTTGCATCACTTATCTAAAAAAAATAATTTGAACAAATAAAATATTTTTTTAGACACTATACTTAGACAACTATTTTTCTGTGTGATAACAATCAGTGCAATTTTTGTAGCTATCTAATTTAAAAAAAGGAAAAGTGCCAGTTTTACTTAACACAACTTTTGCAACAAATTTCAGTTGATTCTAATGAGCAGCATATCTGCAATCTCTGTAGTATAGATTTACAGATAATAAAGACTTTATGATCTGTTGATAAACTGCATTAATCTTTAGATTTAATATTTAAAAACATTCAAACATCTGTGTGTCTACATTTTACTTCACTGTAAATCGAACAAATAAAAAAAAATTGCCTAATATTTTCGCACCTAAAATAAAAAAATTGACCTTTTTAGTAAACTATTTTTCAGATTTACTTTTATATTTTTTTTTATTGTTTTCAATTTTTATATTGTTATTCAACATAGGAAAGGATGTTTCAACTAACAACTAGTAAGTGTTGTGTGTTATTTTACTTATTTCAGCTAAATAAAATAAAAATTAATAAACTTAATAAGTTTTTTTTAACTTATTTTTCATTACTAACCTCGATTTTCTCAAAACTGATTGGCACATTAGACTGTACGAACCCACCACAGCCAACAATATCTTGTGATGATGTTAAGTGACAAGTTACAAATAAAATTTGAAGTATGATAAAAAACATTTTTTACTGAAAAATAAACAATGTAAATATTAAAACACTTGTTTATCCCCAGAACTATAAAATAATTTTTATTTATACCATAATGATTAAGAATAAAGAAATGTATTTCGTTTAGTATTAAAATGTTTTACTCAAAAAATCTGGTTAAACAATACTTAAATATATATACATATAAATAAATGGAAAAAATAAAAATAATTGTTCGCAATTATTTATATCATTGTAATTATGAGAATCGGAGAGTAATTATTTGACGAAACTAGCTCAAGATAAAGGTCTAACTAATATATTATGTTATAGTATATTATGTTATAAAGTAGGCGCCCAAAAGTAGACAGACAGTGTAGGTTGCTAGTTATACTAACGGTTTGACAAGAGTTACCGAGGGATAGACCGAAATACTATGGACCGACATACATATTTGAAATCATAAATATATTGATGCGATTGGTCTATTTCAATAAATGAAGTGCTGTGATTGGTGTTCTTAAATTGTTGATTAATAAATATGTGCATAAAACAACTGATCCCCAGGAATAAGATTAAGTACATACACCGACTGACAGGATTTGGCTAGTCCAAGACAAGGACGGATCCATGTGGATCCATATCCCTTTTTTGTGAATTTATAGGTTAACTAAAGCATTTTGATGAAAACGGAAGTAAATTAGGAAGGCTGTTTTCAAGTAATAAGAAATTTTAATAAAATTGTGTTGCAAAAAAAAAAAAAAAAAAAAAAAAAAAAACAGGTTCGTTTAGGAATATGACAATATATGACGTAATTTCATAATTCCATAGATTAAGACAGTGTAAGACTTATATTCTAAAAAATTAACCAAAAAAACTTTATAATTTGTAGATTTACCTTTTCATAAATCATTTGAAAATCGACCCTCTACTCTACTTGATAGTCTGGATCGACCGAATCAAAAAAAGCTAAAAACTGCCTCCTCTCTACTCCTTTCTAGATGGTCTGTTCCTGGACCAAGGGACAGAATTATTTGACAAAAAATCTAGAAATGAGATCTAATACTATTTAAAAAAAGTGTTTCAAATGTGACAAAAGTGCTTTAATGCACTTACAAAAAGTTACGAAGAGAAACAAAAAGAAACAAAAAGTTGCTGAATGTTTTTACAGAAACAGTACTTTTAGCGAATGTACTGTTTTTCAAAAACAGCCCAAAAAATTATTAAAAGCAGTCTAATCTAGTTAGCATAAAACGTCTTAAGACATTCAACGGACGTCCAATAAATACCTGCATTAATATTATTTCAAGCTTGGACTTACGGAAGAGCTAATCGCGTATAAGAAAAATTACTAGATTGGAAAAAAACGATGGAAAGAGGCCTCCTGCTTTAAAATAGTTCCGGGCAGTGGGCAGCCCTTATGGACTGCAAATGTGGGACCCAGATGAGTCCCACTTTTTTGATTAAATTTTTTTTAATATTTTAAATAATTAATCATTTTTAAATTAGATACATATAATTTAATAGTCATGAAAATAAGACTTAACTTTACCGAAGTAAAACAGGAAATCAAATATTACAAGAAAAAAGAAAACAGTAATACATTAATTATAACGCCACAGTATTTAAATAATAAAAGAATACCTACTAGTCACATATATTTAAGTATATTTAAATCTTTAATTTATCTATGACCTTCACTTTAAATAGTCCTTTTCAAAACGTCTTATTTACATTTTTGCTTGTGGGTTTATAAAAACTCAAGTAGTATATACATTTTCAAAAACTTTTTATACATATAAAAAAAAAAATTCAGTCTTTTAAAACTGACTTTAACTTTTTTGTTTAAGTTTTCTTTAATGTTTAATTAAATAATTTTCAAAGATAATTTAAAACTCTTATACTCACTGATACATGACATTACTAGCACTATTACGGAGTCTTTAAAATGATTTGACTAAAATAAAAGGAAGTTTTTCGAAAAAGAATTAAATTGAATTTAGTTTAAAATTTGAGAAAAGCTTTGAGAAACGTGATTTTCATAAAGTTTCATAAAGGGGTTTTGTGATTTATACTCTTCCAGCTAATTGCCTAGCGGAGTATCTCATACCATCGCGCGCACATTTAATCAGTATTCTCCTTTCTGAGCACCCTGGACAATGTACGGGTTAAGATTATTGGGGGAAAAGAAAATATTTTAGTGAAAGGCAGATATATTAGAGTTAGAAAGATAGCATAGAGAAAGACTGATCGGTCAGTTAAGAAACACAGGAACTAGAAAACGCTAAGGCCGATTAAGGACTAATATTTTTAGTGCATGTTTTTTTTCGAACACGAAAACGATAACAAAGAAGATACTATAAGTCGTTCGCATTTATTGTCTTTTTATGTCGTAAAGTACGTACGCGTTTTTTAACGAAAATGAGAAACCACAAGCAAATACTTTTGAATTTTTTTTTGTATTTTGGGGACTTAATTTTTTTGTTTAAGTTAATTAAGGTGCCCTAAGAAGTCCTTGCAGTCCTATCACAGAGCACTGCGGAAGAGCTTTTAATAGGAAGTTCACGCCTCCTTCCCAACCGATGTCGTAAAACTTTCCCAGAGGTGGGGTTTGAACCACGGATCTTACGTCACTGAGACAAGTGCGCTACCACTGCGCCACGGCTGCTAATTAATTGTGGTTTCTGTAAAAAAAGTGTTGTATAAAAATCCATAATACAAAAAAATCTTGATGGAGCCACTATATATACCTTTTTTCAACGAAAATTAAAACTATATTATTTTCTCAAGACACATGATTATTCAAATAAACATGTAGCTAAGTTTTTTTTTGTTTTTGTTTTTAAGCTGATTTAGCACCGCGGAAGAGCATTTAATAGGAAGTTCACGCCTCCTTTCCAATTGATGTCGCAAAACTGGGGTTTGAACCACGGATCTTACGTTTCTGAGGCAAGTGCTACCATTGCACCACGGCTGCTAGTTGAGTAAAGCGATAATTTTTTAATAAGTTGAGATAATTTTTTAATAAGTTGAGTTAAGCGATAAATTTTTTTACTAATTTTCCACGATTTATAATGCCTCACTATCGTGCGATCAGATGGCATATAAATTTAGAAAATAAGATGGAATTTAACGCTTTTAACTACATATATGGGCCCTAAATGGGCCCCATGTGGGCTAGCCCTTGAATACAAAATATTTTGAATTCAAGGGTAGCCCACATGGGGCCCATTTTGGACCCATATATAATGCTCACATAGGGCCCACTTGGGCGAATCCACATGGGTACCAATAGGACATGTTGGTTGAGGAATGCAGAGCACGCGTATTGTGCTACAAGTGTGTGCGGATGATCCGAAAACTGACAGTCCAAGGTATTTTTTAATAGAACAACAACATAAAAAGAAAAGGTTTGCTTTGATATTAGTATGATAAATAAATTGATAATTTTTAACTTGAGTAATATAACCATATTTGTCAACTTGAGTAATATAACTACATGTCAACTTGAGTTTTATCTATTCTATAAATAAACTACAACGATTTCGCTAAATCGTACAGTTTGTAATAGTGTATAATTTGAACTTTTCTTGACATAAATTTTTCCATTATATTACTTAATAACAAAATTAATTGCTCTGATCAATTAAAACAATTTAATATTGCCTAAACATAAGCAAAATATTTAGTTTTAGTAATACATAATATCATAAAAAATTTTGTTTTATTTTAATTTTCAAAACATTTTTATTAGCTTGCTTTCTTGTCGGTTTATGGACTTGTTCGCACAAAACAAACATCAGTTTAGCAAATAAAATGTGTTGAAGAATTTCTTCAACATGTTTAATTTCTTCTCGATAATTTCTTATAATATACACGATAATTTATTGAAAGCGTTTTACTTTCTTCACCATAATAAATTCCTGTAACCGATTTCTTTATAAGAAATCTGCTACAGGAGTTTATCGTTAAATTAATTAAGAAAAGTAATTAAGTAATGAAGTTTTGAATAGCTGAAAACCTTAATATATTGTTTCAAATGTTTAAAAGTAGAAAAACGCAGAAAACGTTTTAAATTTTTTTTAAGTAGCAAAGTAGGTAAAGAAAATTAGTTACAGCAAAAAAAAAATAAGTTTTAAAGTAATACGTTTTGTATAAATATAAACAATAAGTTAAACAGGATTCAGTTGTTTTTATGTTTTTTGAAACAATTAATATTTGTTTTTCTCTCGTTTAACAACTCTTTGGGAAGAATTAAAAAAAGTTGTGCCGATCACAGTGAAGAGGGAGCCTGAAACTCACTGGTGTGCACAATTAAAAGGTTTTATGAATAGCTATTATAAAAAGCTATTTACGAATAACTAGATAAACTAGTAGAAAAATGAACTATAAAAAATGAACACTGCTGGAAAAATTATCAGAAGATGCATCTATGACGCTTGCCACAAATAGTGATGCAGAAACTTTGCTGGCAGGTATATTAAACTTTAACTTCCAAGTTATGGTACATTTCTAAAACATCATACTTCAGAAAAATGATCGTTCAAAGAAACGATTGCAGTATCCTACTATGAATTTCAAGAAAGAAAAATTTCATCTGATTTGCAATCGCAGGAGAAAAAACTTGTTGTGAACAAAACATTTGTGATCATTTGAGTAAGGTAGAAAATAGAAAAACAAGAAAAACAAGAAAAACTTATTGAATCAAAGGATTAGACGACATCGAAGGATGTCTGGAGAATTAGGAAGAGATGCAGGACTTTATGTAGATTAAAGTATTAATTATGATGAACAGCGTGTTTTAATAAGACAAGATCGTCTTTACGTGCTTCAATAAGACAAGATTGTCTGAGTGATCTTGTACTGCTTAACAACGAAAGAGATTGGTCTCTGGCCTGGTAATTCACCCAACCTCAAACTTTTTAAAAAGTTGCTGTGATCATCGTTAAAATGAAGTCTAGAAAGTGAGACTATTATGATCTACGAGAGAAAATTACGCTGTAAACATAAGTAGAATCTAAGAATAGAACTTTTTTTTAATATTTAAGAAAGTTTATTATTTTTTATAATTATTCTTTTTGTCAAATATCATGATTACTAACATATTTTGATTAAATAAATGAATGACTAAATTAACAAAATAATGATTTGATTAGATTAACGAAAATTATGTTTTTTTATACAATGTTCCAAACTTTTGATCGTGATTGTAGATCAATCGTTTCCTTCTTAAGCGTACTGCCATATTGTTTTCTACATTATTTGATTAACACCTTGTTTATTAAACAAAAGGCTTTACATTTTGACAAAAGTTAAACAACTTTTAATATATATTTAAATAATAAACTCATCTTACTTTAAAAAGTCTTCTTCTAGTATTGCTCAATTCACGAAAAAAGTTTTTAAAAACCAGTTTGCTTTTATTACTGTCTGTCTAGAAGGTTGGAAACTTTAAAATATGAATTTTTGTAGTTCTGCTGAATTATCTTTTTTAACTTGGATTTTTTTTTGTTTAATATATCGGGTTTCCAATTGACCGGTTCTTTTTTATTATCCTATACTTTGTTGGGATTGTATCTTCAATTAGTTGAACTGCAAAAAACGTAAAAAAATTTTTTTCTTGTTTCCAATTCCAATTTTGCTAAAATAATTTTACTAGCGTGTTTTAACATTTTTTTTCGTCTGATTCTATGAAAAATGATTAAACTATACTCTTTCCTGAAAAATCCTTTTCGTTTCTAGATGTTTTTGTGTCTATTGAAACGAAAACAGTTTTTTTTTTATTTCTTGTGTTTTAATGCATTTCCTGTTCTTTTTTAACAGTTTGAATATAGTGCTTTCTCTTTTTTTAAATTTAATTCATCATCACTATTCATCAAGATCATCTAGTTGAATGCTAAATTTTTTAAATTTAATTCATCATCACTATTCATCAGGATCATCTAGTTGAATACTAAATTTTTTAAATTTAATTCATCATCACTATTCATCAGGATTACCTAGTTGAATACTAAATTTTTTAAATTCAATTCATCATCACTATTCATCAGGATCATCTAGTTGAATACTAAATTTTTTAAATTTAATTCATCATCACTATTCATCAGGATCATCTAGTTGAATACTAAATTTTTTGCAATACTGCAAATTATTTTATTATTATTTGAATTTGGTTCATTTATTCAGAAAATAGTAGTCATCATTTTAACGGGTTTGTAGTCAGCGAATTCTTTTGACAAATTTATGTTCGTAACTGTTCCAGTTTTTGTAATTTCTTTTCACCTTTGAAGATCCAGCGTTTGCAATTTTTGATTGAAAAAAAATGACTTGCATTTGACCCCCCTCCCCTCATCAAATAAGTTTTCGTTCATTTAGTCGGCAAATTTGACCCTATTTAGACAAGTCGGTCGGCAAATATAGATCTTTTTTTTTTGGCAAAAATTTTAATGAAAATTTTAATGTCCCTTCCACGCGACTGATGTAATTTCACACATTATTAAAGTCTTTGCAATTTCTTTTGCCGTACCTATGGTAGTTCTTATCTATGCAAATTCGCACTTACTTCACTCGCTCGGGGTTACAGTATGGCGTTCAAGCAGTCGCTAACTAATGTATAAAGTAAAACAAACGTAAAAATCCGGCGGCTTATTTACAAGAAATAATCTATCACGTGATCAAAATATTCATTAAAAATGGAGTCCTTAGAGCACATTATGATTGTTGTAAATAACTAATTTTGTAGTTTAGGATTGTTTATAATTTATAGTTTTAAATTGAAAAAAAGTTAAACAATAATGCGTAATTAAGAAAAATATGTTGGTTCATTTTATAGGAATCACAAGTAAAAATAGTTTGTTACCAGAATCGATTTCAAGAATTTTTGTAATATATATTCATATCACATATATATATATATATATTCTGAAAAATAATTGCATGGATATTTACAAATAGTAATTCTACTAATATCAAGTAAACACCAAAAATATTTGTATATATAATTATTAATCATTATAAGAATAATAATTATAATAATAAAAATAATATTTATAGTAATAAACATAAGAACCACAAAAATAATAAAAAAAACAACAATAACAATTATAAAATTAGTTAAATTCAAAAAATATTCAAATAATAAGTCACTTGTTTTTATAAACACAATAGCTAAATATACATATAAATTAGTTACCACTAATTGACTGATAAAACGTAACAACCAAAAAGAACATAAAACATTTAAATTTAAAATAATAAAATATGAATAATAATAGTAAAGATAAAAATAGTAATAATTGTGGCTACAATAAATATATAGAACTAAAAGAAATAAAACTATAACAAAAAACGTGATAAAAATTAAAAATAAGATAAAGAAAAACAAAAAAGCATTAAAAAAATGAGAAAGTTTAATATTGTTACATGCACACAAAAACACAAATATAAAGATATATATATATACATACTTACCCACATGCATAGATACACACATATTTGCACATAAATACACACGTGCTTATACATGCACTCACATAGCTATGTATACATACACTCACATAGCTATGTATACATACACTTATAGATACATATACAGCTTTAAAAACATAAATTTTTTAAAATGTCCACTTAACATAAAATTAAAATTATTTAAATTCAAAAACATACGATGCAAACAACGCAATTGTATATAACAAAATGAATTATACTCTACAATGTCCAATTAACAATACACAAGAATACAAAAACAAAAAACAACAACAACAAAAAAGACAAATGTCCCTCAAAATTAATAAAATTTAAAAAATATTCTTTTACGTTTCTTCAAAAAAAGAGCAATTTTTACATTTTATTTTAATTGCTTCTAATTACTTTTCATTTACGAATGTGTTTTTCTTTTAACTTTAGATTTTTGTCTTTTCTTTTTCTTTTCTCATTTCTTTTTATGTTTTTTTTTTGTTTATTTTTTGCTTTTTCATAAAACAATATATATATATATATATATATATATATATATATATATATATATATATATATATATATATATATATATATATATATATATATATATATATTGTTAAAGACATACAAAGGGCTATAGCAATATTTAGAATTATTAAGTATGTATTTATATATTGTATAATATGTAAATATAAAGCAGTGAGTTTATCTGGAAAATGCGCTTTGTCCAAGTAAATTAAATTTAAAAAAATGAGTAAAAATCCATCCTCTTATCCAAGACATGAAATTTATGGATATATATTTCATATATCTTTATTATATTGATAAAAATATCACTAACAATTTATTTAATTCAATTACTTTAAATAAATAAACTAACATAACAATATGAGAACTATAACAACAACAACAGAAAGCATATTTACTTGAAATATAGACGTTTTACGTAATCGAAATATACACAAATGAAAAAATATTATAGAGTTAATATATATATATATATATATATATATATATATATATATATATATATATATATATATATATATATATATATATATATGGTATCAGATTGCAATAGTTACATACTTTTTTAGTTGTATGTATGTATGTATGTATATATATATATATATATATATATATATATATATATACATATATATATAAATATATGTATGTATATATATATATATATATATTTATATATATATGTGTATATATATATATATATATATATATATATATATATATATATATATATATATATATATATATATAAATTAGTAGAAAATCACTTAGCAAAATTTTTTCTCATTTAACGCTGTGTTTCATCAATAAAGACTCATCAGAAAACCTTTTATTTTCTGATGAGTTTTTATTGATGAAGCACAGTGTTAAATGAGAAAAAATTTTGCTAAGTGATTTTCTACTAATTTGTAATTGCTCTTATAATATTTCTACTAATATGTAATTGCTCTTTTTTAGTAGTATATATATATATATATATATATATATATATATATATATATATATATATATATATATATATATATATATATATATATGTATATATATATATATATATATATATATATATATATATATATATATATATATATATACTACTAAAAAAGTGTATAAGTATTGCAATCTGATACCATATTGATTTACAGAGCTATGAGGGCTTCAATACATACATCAACTAATATAGGGAGATTATAGAAAGAAGATGCTGCTATATAAATTAAGGGTTTTGGACAGTGAATTCATTTTGTACTTTTTTTGGAATGCAGAAATTTTCGGACAGTGAGTTAATGTTGTATGTGCAAATGCAGGGATCAATTTAATTTTTTATAAACCCTGGACAAAATGTCCGGTCAAAACTTGTTTGGGTTGCACAGTGTCTGATCAAATTTTTAATTTATAATTTTTACAGTTTTAACCAAGTTATGCAATCAAAATCTTTGTAATGTTATTCAGTTTATTTAACATTAGTTTAGTGAAGTTGTAGTTTCTTTCTATTTTATTTAGATTTATATTTTAGATTTTTATTTAATATTGTATGTTTTTTTTTTATTGGCTTAAATTTTCAAGTTGTAACTTTCTTTACAATTAACAACGGCTGTTTTGATGTTTTAGCAATAATGGTTACGATATATTTTTATTTTACATGAGGGCTTTAAATAAAATCAAAAATTAAATATAATTGTTGTTTAAAATAAACGCATTATGAGTAAATTAAATGTTAAATTAAAATTTTTTTTAGTAGGTATGTATTTTTAATGACAAATTCAAACATTTGAAACTATTTTTCCATGTCTTTCTAAAAATCTTTCAAAAGATTATTTTTTTTAAGTTACTTTACATGAATAAGTTTAAATCTTTTCATGATATAATTGCTTTATTATTTTTTGTTTCTATTTTCACAAAGAATTGTTTTAAAGCTTTTTTTTTGGAAACTTAACCTACTAATTAAAGAATGAAATGATTAATAATTACTTTTTTTAAACAATTTTTTTTTTTTGCAACTTTTTGAAAAATATGTTTATGCAACTTAAAAATATTATATATATTTCTTTTGAATAATTTAATTTTACTTTTCGATAATGTAATCTAAATTTGTTTGTTTATTAAATAATCAATAGAAGTAATTTGTTAAAGCATTTTGCGTAACTTTATTCAAGCATTTTAGGAGTAATTTTTTTCAAATGCAATTAAAAACGTAACAAAAATTAGTTTTAACTTTCGAATTTTTTTAGTTTTATTTTGAAACTAATTTATTTTCTTTTTCCTAAAGAATTGCTTTGCTTATTCTTCAGTTTTTTCAATTTTTATTCTTTGTTTAAGTTTAGTTTAAAAAAATTTTTTAGTTTTATTTCTGAAACGTTTAAATCATCAAAACATTTAAACAGTTGTGGTCAAGCTGTAAACAAAAAATATCATTTGCGTGGTCAGCAATAGCGATCAATCGCATGCCATTGGTTTTCCTACCTTTATTTTGTAGAATTTTATTCCTATCAGTCAAAATGTCTGATTACTTTGTATCATGATCGGACAATCTGAGGTTTTACCCGGACAATGTCCGACCGTTAAATTGGCCCCTGTATATGTATATATATATATATATATATATATATATATATATATATATATTATATATATTCTTGTATATATATTCTTGTATATATATATATATATATATATATATTCTTGTATATATATATATATATATATATATATATATATATATATATATATATATATATATATATGTATTTATATATATAAATATATGTATATGTTTGGTAAACTAAAGAAATTTAATTATAAAAAGTAAAAAAAGTTAAAAAAAAAAAAATTTTATATTTTAACTGATAACAACAATTTCTCTAGATTTCTAAATTTTACATATGGCGCCAGCAATGGCTCGTAAAACACCAAAAGCTTCTACCACTGAATTACTAAAGCGTCCAAAAAGAAAAACTGTAATAATGAAAGAAAACTTTAAAAATGCAGAAAAAACAGAAAAGATTTCTACAAAAAGTAAATTTGAAGAATCTTCATCAAGTTCCACAAAGAAAGTTACCAAAATATCTCAAGTCAAGAAAAGTGAATCAAAACGAAAAGAAAATGCAACAAAGGTTTTTTAAATATATATATATATATATATATATATATATATATATATATATATATATATATATATATAATATATATATATATATATATATATATATATATATATATATATATATATATATATTTTAATTGTTCACCTCCCCAAGGCCCGAGGGGGCCACTACAGTCGAGGAGGCTACTCTTTTTTTTTTTTTTTTTTTTTGTTGTTAATGGTGGCACAACCCTCTCTCAACTCTTTAACTCCGAAAGTAACGGAGAAATTAAGTTGAGCGCGGTACTTCCAGGGACGTGGTGGGAGTCGAACTCCGAACCGCTCGCTTACAAAGTGAGCGCTCTTACCACTACACCACTACCACATAATATATATATATATATATATATATATATATATATATATATATATATATATATATATATATATATATATATATATATATATATATATATACACTAGGAAAAAACGAAAACACTAGGTTTAAATTTTTTTTGAATAAAAAATATTTTAAGGGGTCTCTCAAGACCCTCGAATATTTAATGGGTCCCTAATATTTTCGAAAAAAAAGTTTTTCAAAAATATGTCAACCTGGTACTCAAATGAAGCGAAATTATATAAATATTTCAAAAATAATATTCATTTCGAATTATTTTTAACTTATTTATCAAGATTATCATAAAAAAACATTAGAAATGCTTTTTTTTCAATTTTTCTTAAAAAAATCAATTTTTTATGTAATAAAACGAAAAAAAACAATTTTGTTTCGAAATGAATATTATTTTAAAATTTTTATATAATTTCGCTTCATTTGAGTACCAGGTTGACATATTTTTGAAAAACTTTTTTTTCGAAAATATTAGGGACCCATTAAATATTCAAGGGTCTTGAGGGACCCCTTAAAATATTTTTTATTCAAAAAAAATTTAAACCTAGTGTTTTTGTATTAGATAGAACACATTTAGGGGGTAAGAGCAGATTATTTTCAAAATTATTGTTTTTTGGGACACCCTAATACACACACATATGTATATATATATAAACAAAATATATTTTGTTTTGACAACTTGGTCTTAATTTGTTTTAATAGTTTAATTGTTTAAAAATGTGCTTAAAAAATTTCTGTTTTATAATCTGTTTCTTACCTTGACTTGTATCAAATTGTTGCTGGAAAAAACAAGCACCCTTAAAATAAAATAAAAACAGTTATAGCGTTTATTAATTTTTGTAAAATTTTACCACCCATTTTAATTTTATTGAGACAACTCCCTCCCCCTTGAGTCCTTGTAATAAGGACTGGGTAGTAAATTAAAATTATTTAGTATTTTATTTAGTAAAAGTATTTTTTTTTTATACTTTTGTTTTTTAAGGTTAATCTTTTATATATTTTCTCATTCATTGTTTTTTTTAGTGTATTTTTTAATGTTTGTTTTGTTATTTTATTTTACTAAATGTTTTATACGCGGTGAAGAAAGGTGTTTGGCTGCACGCATTTTCTCAAAAAGCCTGTATTTCATAATTTGTTTATTCATAGTTTTTTTTTTTATTTTGTTTATGAATGAGTATGAGAGATAATATGACATTAAACAATAGCACCTGTGCATTTTGGATTCTTTTCAAGTGCTTAAAACTTTTCTTAATACATTAAAATTTCTTTAAAGACTTTTGTCTTTTAACATGATATGTGTATAATGAACTCAAACAACAATGTCGAATGTTCAAATTTTTTTGAGGGAATTTTTTTATCTTGTTTAAGCAATCTTTATTTTTAATTGTTTAACAGGTGTTCAAGCAAGGTGTTTAAGTTTAAAGTCATAATCTTAATGATATGCATAACAATCTTTGTAATAAGGTTTCAAGAGGTTATCAGCAGGTTTAACATTGTCCAAGTTATTGTGTTTTTGTGCTGTTTGCATAGCATGTTATTTGAGCTGCTGGTTCTTATTGGTTAACTATAATAGGGTGTGAGTAGTTTGTATTAGTGAATTTGTGAAAATGGCACAATATGAAACTTTTCAACTTATGCAAGTGCTAACCACCTTGAATAATAGTTCTACAATTGAATTATTATTATTTTTATAGGCAATGAAAAATTTTATTAAGCATGACATAAAAAATTTTGATCAGCATGAAAATAAGTTTTGATTAGTTTGTTACTATTGCATAATAAAAAACAGTTCCATCCTAATGTCTCTGGTTGTACAGTTTGATCCCTATGTCTATCGTAGTACCGCGCTCAACTTGTTTCTCTGTGCAGCAACCTTGTTTGTCAAGGTTTGTGTTTTGGAGTTGAGAGAGGGTTGTAACCACAGTAAAGTAGTGTTCTTGATTATAGTGGCCTTCCCAGCCTGGGGTGAACACTGAAATTTTTAAGTACAAAATTGATATTTTCCGAAATCTAAAAAATAGTGTTTAAAAAATAATATCATTTTTATCATGTTATCTCTTATATTAAATATCATAGAAACCCACATGACCATCCATTGTCTTTTGTCATCAAAATGTGGTTGATATGTAATAATACCTTTAATGGTTTGATAACTTTATGGCTATCATGCTACTAGAATTACTTTTTTTGGGTCTGTTCTGTACATTACAGGTTTCAAAGCAAAATAAAATGTATAGAAAATAGTTTTTTTTCAAATTAAACTATAAGATTTTATATATTATATAAACAACTTAAAATATACATGTATTTAATTAGTTGAAATTCTCATAGAGTTGTAGGTGGAAGCTTTTTTTTTAAGCTTCAATTTGTGTCAATACATTTTTTTTTAGTCTGTGCAATGTCATAGGGTTCCAATTTTTTTGTTGAATTTTTATGTATAGCCTCGGATGTTTGCTCTGAAAAAATTTCAAGAGTTTTCTGATTTCTCTTAAGAAACCTACAAGGTGGTATTTGATAATATGGAATTTCCATCCACGTGATAATGTTTTATCAAGCACATCTTTATAATAGTATTCTAAATATTCAGCAGATTCAATAAACTGTAAGGTATTTTTAATGTATATAGATTTTAGCAGCATTCTAAAACAACTTTTTGCAACTGAAATATTTTTAGTATATAATTATTATATATATATATATATATATATATATATATATATATATATATATATATATATATATATATATATATATATATATATATATATATATATATATATATATATATATATATAATGCAGTACAGTAAAAACAAACAGGTTTTTCATCATGACTCTATAATAAAATGTTTTGTTATTCTGAGATTTAATGTTTAAATAGATACTTTTAAAAAATTAATAAAATTAGGCAAAATTTTTTACTGATATGCCAAGAAGTAGGTTTATAAACTTTAGGTCAAAAGCGACAAGAAATTTGAGCTGATTTACCTTTATAAATTTAATATCCATTCCAAGATTATGGTTATTCTCCTTGACATTACTTGCCAAAGGAGAGAGGTTTTTATAGGATCTAATACACGTAGAGCATATTTCTTGAATAAGTCTGGTAAGATCTTCTATGTATAAAACATCTTTTAAAACTAGGTTTTCAAGTTTAACTTCCTTTCCATTAAAAAAAAACAATTTTTTTTGTATCTATAAAACTTTTATAGAGCATGAGTACTCTTTATAACCATAGCAATTGAATTCTTTTCAACACCTAGTTTTAAATTGCTATATTGTAAATAGCGTAAGTTATATTGACTATTACAAATTTTTGAAAATAAATAAACTAATATACCTCCGTTTATTATATATTATAAAATATTTAAACACCAAGACAACCAAGATATTTTTATAAATATGTAAGAATATCATAAACAATTTTTTCAGGTGCATCATAATTTTTCTTGATATCAAATATTGTATCAGTAAACTTTATTTGTTTGGAGCTTAGTTTTGGTTCTACAGGTAGCAGTGATCTTTCTAATATTAGAAAAGAGTATTGCAGCAAGTCATTATAAATAAATAAACCAATAAATAAAAATCTACTAGTGGATAATTGTAACAAATTTTTGTTCGTTACTAGAAACTTTAAAACAATTTTTTGATCTGATATCTTTTTATTGTTTTAAAACTCATTTTAAAACGATTGATTATCATTAAAAAGATTAAAAAACGATTGATTATCATTAAAAATATTTTAAAAAGATGATTATCATTTTTAAGATTCTTAGCATTTTGAACAGCAGATGTTCTCGTGCATGGGTGCCTAATGCTCTTTCCATCTAGTTAAAAATAAAATGTGCAGAATGAGTTTAACCTTTCAATGCAGAAAATTTCATTTGACTCAATGATATAATCTTTAAAATGAAATACAGCATATTCGACAATAAGCATTTATCGTCAGTTGAAGTAAGTCTTCCATTCATTATAAGTAACTCTCTTCCACTTTTCCAAACTTCTTTAATCATTTTCATAGGTTTTCCTTTCTGTGAACAAGGTTATTTGTATTTTTAGTAAAATATTTTAAATAAAATTGATAAAATATTTATAAAATACAATAACGTTTTTGGTAAAGAGAGTATTTTTGCAACGGCAACAAAGTCCAGTTGGAAATGCATTTATACCAAAACTGAACCATTGTTGTATAATGTCTTGAACTATTGTCACTAATGATGGCATACTATAAAGAGAGTAGTTGTCTGTTTTGTTACAGCAACAACAAAAAAAACTGAATCTCTAGATTCATTATGATTTTTTTTCCTTAAAAGTTGAGCCATTTGATATGTAATATTTAACTTGGGTAGATTTTTAAAATAATATTACACTTTTTATTAATAAAAATAAATGTTTAAAAAATAAAAATTTTATAAAATGTAGTTATAAAATTATTATAGTTATATAAATTTTATTATTTAATGTTTTTAAACAAGTCATCAACCGCTTTAAGAGCTCTATTAGTGAAACTATTAAAGGTATTATTATAAATTAAGTAAACCATTTTTTGAAGACTAAGACAATGGAATTTCACAGGTTTCTATGATATTATATTTCTATGATAATATAATAAAAATGATATAGTTATTAAACACTATTTTCTGGTTTTCGGAAAATATCAATTTTGGACTAAGAAGGAACATTTCGGATTTTATTTTCAACACATTCCAACTTGTATACCTATACATATTAAAAGAATCTGAAGACAAAGCTCATGTCTTTTGAAATTCAATCTAAAACCTTCAGAATCAAGTAGTGTTCAGTGCATGTGATGAATAAAATTGCCCAGCGCAATATTTCATGCTCGTAGTACTGAAATATGTTATCAACGAGTGCGATTATGTGCACTCGGCATCAAGTCTTCGAGAACAATATTCAGTGTTGAAAATTGGTTGCTATGGGGGCATCTGTAAATTACATATGCAAGTATGGGGAGGGGGTCACTCAAAAAGTTTTCTTTTTAGAGTTGAATTAACATGCTTGATTGTGAACATCTATAACAACAGAAACGTTTTTAATTTAATTTAAAGATAAATAATAGTTTAAAAAATAAAAATAAAAAAGAGAGTATTTTATTTGTTTACAAAAGATGTGCCAAAAATTAAAAACAAGGCAAAAGAACCTTAAGTTTTTAAAAAATCTTGTTGATTAAAACTTTTGATTTTTCAAAATTCAATCAAATTTTAATTTTTTAATATAAATTTTCTATTCTCATTGGGACAAAACGTTTTGAAAATAGTAAACATTCCATTCTATCTGTTAGCAGTAATGACTTCATAACTTTTCATTCATTGTTTTACAAAATAGAAAACTGCTTTCTAATTAAATCTGAATGCGCTATATAATTATTATCAAGTGAATAATATTTTATATACTTGATTATATACTTAATAAATATATATTAAACTTATAAAATTATAATATATATTAGTTTAAATATAAATAATATAGATAATATAGATAATATAGAAGTAGAGGAAAAGACCTGTATTTACCGATACGGACAGCTAGATTAAGAAAATAAGGGAAAAGGTTTGTGTGGAATAGACTTACAATTCAGCTAGTATATATATATATATATATATATATATATATATATATATATATATATATATATATATATATATACATGTATATATATATATATATATATATATATATATATATATATATATATATATATATATATATATATATATATATATATATATATATATAAGGCTTGGTCGGGAAGCGGGAGCGATCGCTCTCAATTGCTGACCACGTAAATAATATTTAGTTGCGAAAAGCTGGCCAGATTTTTTTATCGTTTTGAGAACATTTTTTATCGTTTTGAGAACACAGCAAAAAAAAAAAAAGCAATTAAGATTAATTGGACCGATGAGAGACAATTACAAAAAAAAAAAAAAAAAAAATAGGCAAATAAAATATCTTTAAACGCAAAAAAATTTAAAGCTAAATAAATTACATTTAGAACAAATATTTTCGAAACATCGCTCTTTTATAATTTTTTTTTATAAAATTAAGCGATGATTTTTATATAAAGTAACAACTTACCATTGTTTAAAAGGGAAACAAACATATTTTATTTAACTAAGTTTGAAAGTTTTAGTTTTACTTAAGCTTAATTTATTATATAAATAAAAAAGTTAATTTTTTTAGTTTTATGTTTCACGTAGTTTAAAAAGTTTAACATATTTGAAGCGATTCTTCTTAGTAAGATAAACAAATGAAATAATTAAATCATTGAATTACTATAAGAATTAAGTTATCAAGATAGAAATCAACTAAAAAGGTTAAAAATACTTAATGACCAGGAAGCGAAACTGCTTCACAATATCGCTGATGATGTTTAGTGAGTGGGCTTTTTAATTTCAATTAGTATTTAAAGCAGAAAAAAGTATAAGGATTTTAAAGAATGGCAACTTAAGCGAAAATAATCAGAGTTAGTAAACCAATATCTAGAAACTTTTCTTTATATCTAATTATTTGCTATATATATTCGTGTTCTGTCGTGACCTCAGGCGCGATGCTTGTTTATCCGCGAGTTACTTTGTATGTGTTGTTTGTGTTTAGTAACCAGAAACTTCTTATATGTTTGTTACATAATTAGTTTTATTAACTTTAACGATAAAATCTTCATTGAAAACGCAATTATTTTTGTAAGTCTTTGTTTAAATCATAAAAATTGCTTTAAAAGATACATTACGATAAAAAACAAATACACAAAATTACATTTACATAAAGAATACAATCTCTTTTAAAATAAAAAGTAAGAATATACTAATAAAATCTATGATTTATAATAAATTTTTAAAATTTTAACAATTTAATTAATATATATTTAAAACATTTATATTCGTAAACAAATAATATATATTCTTAAAACAATGCTAAAAATCTCAAAACGTAACAAATCGTGAATAATACAATTTCTAAAACATTTTAACAGATTACTCTAGAAATTTATTTCAATTAATCAGCATATTTTTTGAACCAATAGAATTAGTTTGTTTGTTAATTTGGCGGGTTTTTAGTGTTCGCAAATATTCTTTTTATTCTTTCACACAAAGATGTTTTGAGAACATTCAAGTTTTTTATGTTTCCATGTATGTCCGTAAAACAAAAATTTTTTGTTTCGTAAAAGTCTAAAAAACCTGGCCAGTTTTACGCAACTAAATATAATTTCCGTGGTCAGTATTCGAGAGCGATCGCTCCCGCTTCCCGACCAAGCCTGATATATATATATATTTTGTTATTTCACCTCCCCAAGTCCGAGAAGACCACTACAAACGAGAAGGCTACTTAATTGTGGTTATAAACCTCTCTCAACTTTAAAACTCTGAAACACGAACCTTGACGAACAAGGCCGCTGCGCGGAGAAGCAATTTGAGCGCTGTACTACCAGGGACATGGTGGGGATCGTACTCGTAACCTCTCACTTATAAAGCGAGCGCTCTACCACTACACCACTACCACATATATACATACATATATATATATATATATATATATATATATATATATATATATATATATATATATATATATATATATATATATATATATAACTTATATACTGACGTATATTTTGAGAAACATGTTGTAAAACTAGTGACATAACTTTTTTTCTTTTGTTATTTGTGAGCACGCTTCCAAAAGTTTCAATTCAAAGTTATATAACAAATATATTAGCTAAACGTATTATTTATTAAAACTTTTTAATTTTAAGTTGCGTTTAGCTTTAACTCTTTTAATAAATAGACTATAATATAAGCCTAACTGATTGAAGATACCAGTGAAGTATTTAGTTTATTAACTTATATTTGACAATATTTGATATTCCAAAAAAATAATTTTGAATTTTAGATATAATAGTCATTAATTAATAGAATGTGATCGAACCTGTATGAAATTGAAGCTTTAAGTGAAGTTTTTGTTTGATAAATTTTTTACGCTAGATGTTTATAAGATATTTATAAATATTAAGCGAGATATTTAGTTTTTTAATATTTAAATTTGGAATTTTCATTTAAGTGTTGCAAGTTTTAATATTTTATTACATGGACTTTTATGCAATTCAAAGTAAAAGTTCTAGTGAAGCAAAGTTTTTTGTCAAATGGACCCTAAACAACTATACTTGTTAGCTAATAGTTCGACTTAACAAACCATTAGATAACAAGGTATGATTAAGCGAATAATATGATAAGAATTAAAAAAAAAAACACGCTGGATTTAGCTCTTAAATAGAAGAAATTTTTAATTTGAACTTATATTGCATAAATCATTTTTAATTTGAACTTATATCGCATAAATCATTTTTAATTTGAACTTATATTGCATAAATTATGTGTGATGTACTTTATTTCAAATATAACTTCTTTACTTAACAATATGCAAACTCTACTGTTTAAACATATTTTGACAGCAAAAAAAAATTTAATAAAATTATTTTCTATTAAATCAGCTTATAATTTTCTCCCTCACAAATTCTTCAGATGAACGATTGCTCCCGCTTCATCACAAGGCCTGTATATATATTTACTATACAAAATACAATTAATTTAGTAGAGAAGATTGTGATTTTAAAGGAAATAAGAAAAGACTAAAAATATAATGCTGAATATCACAAACATTATAAATAGTATAAATATAAATGCTGTAAATTTTAAAAATTTTTATCTTTTTTTTTTTTACATTCAAGATATGAATAATGTTCTTTTTTTGTGAATTGTGTTTTTAGATAGTGTCAATATTAACTAAATTTCTATTTTTTAGAAGATCAAGACATCAGCTAAGAAGCAATCAGTTGAAGAAAAAAAGGTTTTTTTTTTATTAGTTTAAAGTTGTTTAATTGATTTTACCTGTTAAGAGGTGGTGCCATGTTGCTGTCTAGGCCAGTGGTTTTTGTCTAAAAATGCTTTTTTAAATTTAATTTTTAGTTAGTTATTTTTTATAATAATAACTTTGATTGCTTTGAGACAGGAGGCAATAAAAAAGGACTTATCATTCTATACAAGAGACAAAAGACTTGTCTTTGGAAATATGATTGGCATTCGACATTGCCAGCTATCAACCTTAATGTGTCTGAAATTGATGATTTTTTGCTAATCTTGTTCCTTTGTTATTATGGTAAAACCATTGTGTTGGAATTTTGTACTGAACTAATTGAGGCATGCAGGAGTTTTGTTCAATTTTCACCCCAACTCAGTTGTTTACTGATAAAAAATTTTATTTTTAAGAGACACCATCTCTAGCTTTTACTCAACCAAGTACCCCATGATTGGCAGTATTTCAAGTCTAATCATTTTTCCTAGCCCTTGCCTATATATAAAATCTTACAAGGCAGTAAGATATGAGACTGGTTATACTAGATTATGTGTTACCATTAGCAGGATGATCATGGTAACTTTATGCTGACCTGACCTGATAACCATCAGGTTATCAGGTCAACCTAACAAGTTACTGAAACAGATAACAGCTAAAAATTTCTGGAGCATTATAAATAGTGCAGCTCTTGTACAGTTCCCAATAATAATCCAAGATCTTTGAATGAATTGTTTCTGTTGCTTGTTTACTAAAGTTTTAGAGTGAAGATTCCAAATTCCACGAATTTGTCAACATGGTCAAAATTCTTTTATTTTCTTTCATGCAAAAGATGTAACAGCAAAATCGTTTATATTGAAGATACATATAACAGATATAGGTTTAGATAAATTGTTTTTTTTTTTTATATCATCTGGCTAAGAAATTATTATTTTCTTTCATTTAATATTCCAATTTTAAACTTGCAATTTTCCATTTGAAAACTTTTTAAATGTTTCTTGCAAGTAGTTAACTCAATAAAACTAAGTAAGTCTCTATTGTATAAAGAAATAACTAAATGACTCTATATTGTATACAGAAAATTGTCAAAGAAAAATTATTTTATGTTTTATATAGAACTCAGTTACTCTATATTTTATATAGATTATTAATTCTGATTTATGATTCTAATTTTGATATCATAAGATATCAATGTGTGAATCAGTAAGTATTCAAAAATGTTTATTTATTCAGTTGTTTTTTTTTAAAGATATCCAACTTTTTTTTTTTTAATGTTGTGTTTGGTTTGGATGAGTTTTTAATTTTAGCAGCAGTTGTTTGTTTGTCATTAGTTGGATGTTATGTAATAGCTGAACATTGAATGCTTTAGTTTTCTGATTTTATAACATTTTGCTGTATTTTTCCTAACCTTGCTGTTTTAAAAATAGCGTGTTGTTTTACATTTTTAGTAAAGAAATACAAATCCTTTTATTTTGGTTTAGCATTTTAGCAATAAGAATGAAAATGAAAAAAATGAAAGTGTTATAGAAGAAATAGAAGAAGAAGAAGTTGAAGCAGGAAATCAAGAGATTCGTCTTGATGGTACCTTTAACATCTTTTATGTTTATAAACCAACCATAATTTTTTGTTAACATAAATTTAAAAAATAAAAATATAAAGTTGGGATTCCGCTTTTCAAACTCTATGAAAGATATTAATTAATATCTTAGGTTAAATAAAAAATTTTAAGTTTTTGAAAAATAATTCTCACAGAACTAATATAAATATAAGGATAACATTTCTTTGCATGGATTTAATGATTATTTTAGACATTTTGGTTTGATTAGAGGGTTTTATAAATCTTGAATTGAGAATTTTAATTAAACATTATTCATCTCTAGACAGACAATAATCTATAAAGTTTTTCAGTTTTTTTTTTTGAAAAATACAACTCATTTGATTGGTTATTAAAAAAATACAACTAGTTTGATTGGTTATTAAAATATGACCATTTAGTCACATCACATGACATTGGATGCAATATTAAGTCTAATTGATTAATTCTGACATAGCATATCTAAAGGCAAAAAATCAGCTAGTTTGGTAACAATATAAAGGTTTGTTTAAGGGTTGTAAAATTTTTGGAAAAACTAGAATTAGTAATTAGAAATTAAAATATAAAAGAATAAATATAAAAAATAATTTTTTTGTTTTCTATGAATATAAAGTTCACGAGAGAAAAAACCATCCTGATGAAAAAGATAGTCAATTAGGATCAGAAAATGATAGTGACAATAACAGTGATCCTGATGATGGTGAACAAGATAATGATGGAGATTTAGATTTTGACCCTGAGAATGATCCAGATAAGTTATGGTGCTTTTGTCGTCGCCCACATGGTAATAGGTATATTTAAATTTTCATGTGAAAAGTTAACTTAATTATTTATGCACACATGTATTCAATTGTTGAAACCAAATTTTCTTCATTTAATGGAGTTGTTTATTTTGTGTTTTGGATTTATAGAGTTGAGAAAGGGTTGTAGAAACAACAGCATCAACAATAAAAACAATACATAAGTAGCCTCCTTAACAGTAGTAGTCTCCTCGACCTTGAAGAGGTAAAAAATAAAAAAAAAAAATTCTGAGAAAATAGATCTGCCTGTTATATTGCTAGTAACAGAATATAGAGTAAGTTAGATCAAATGTGTCAATCAACTAATGAGTTACTTTGGGCAGTATTTATTTGGAATGTAATTCTTTTTTTAATTTTTGATATTTCCTACAAAAGACTAAGTTTTTCACTCAAAAAATTTACAAGCCTAAATTCACTGTGTAAAATTTTCTCTGGTTTTAATTAGAGATTTTTTCTAAATTTGAATTTAAGTTTAAATTAATATATGTATTTTACATATATAATGTGAATCTTCAAAATTTTGGATAAAATCTAGAAAGTTATTAGAGATTCGATTTGAATTCTATATATTCCATACATTTATTTTATAATTTCTTTTGAAGTAAGTAATTAAGCCACTGTAGCAACTATGCTGTAGGTTGTTCAGTCAATTTTTGAAAGTGTTGACTGTTTCTGCATTCACAGTATTGTTGGATAGGAAGTTCCAAAAGTTCATATTTCTGTTAGTGAAATAATTGCTTTGGATTGGGCTGTTGTTAATTCTTTGCTGAGTTGTCTTTTACAAGTTTTTAAGTCTTTTGTGATTATTGGTACTTAATATTTCACTTTGTCACTTTCTTTTATAATTTAGAATTCTTGAATGAAATTGTCTTTTTATTGGTACACAGTTAAACTAGTTAGGTTGAGTTTGATTAGCCTTCCTTCATATCTATGTTGACTCATTGCATGGCTAATCTTGCTGGCTCAATGCTGAACTTTTACAAGTGTTTTTTGGTCCTTTTTTTCTATGGTGATAAAGTGCATACTGTATATTCCATATGCTGTATAGAGTTTCTTCCATTCTGTTGTTTTATATATATCTATCTATATATATATATATATATATATATATATATATATATATATATATATATATATATATATATATATATATATATATATATATATATATATATATATATATATATATATATATATATACACATATATATATATATATATATATATATATATATATATCTATATATATATATATATATATATATATATATATATATATATATATATATATATATATATATATATATATATATATATATATATATATATATATATATATATATATATATATATATATATATATATATATATATATATGTATATATATATATATATATATATATATATATATATATATATATATATATATATATATATATATATATATATATATATATATATATATATATATTCATATACATATATTCATAATTGAAAACTTTGATAATGTTATGCTGCATTTTTATAACGTAATTTACATGGTTATAATTATTTATACTTTTTTTCTTACATCATTGATTGTGTTGTTGTATTTGTTGTTTTTAAGCATAGGATTTTTGGTCACGACCGTCACAACAAAAAAAACACATAAATGCTTGTGAAACTTTAAGTAAAAACTATGAAACTCAGCATATAATAACATCAATATGCGCTAAATACACACACCAAATGATTTTTTTTTTTTACCATGCTGTTTGCTGCATTAAGTCTGACAAAGTTGTTTTGTTCAAAAGTTGTAAAAAGTAAGCCTTATGACGGTCACGCTACTTAGAATTAATTTTTGAAAAAATTTGAAAACTTAAATGCTGTAACTTTTACATACTAAATTATATGATAGTATTTCACATTTCTGGGAAGTTTCTAGACATTTTCATTTTCGGTTCATTTTTAATAACTTGAAGAGTGTCAAATGTTATGGCTGCCACTCTTTCGGAAATGCCCATGTATATATATTTATATATTTATGTATGTATGTATATATATGTGTATATATATATATATATATATATATATATATATATATGTATATATATATATATATATATATACATATATATATATATACATATATATATATATATATATATATATATATATATATATATATATATATATATATATATATATATATATATATATATATATATATTTATATATATATATATATTTATATATATATATATATTTATATGTATATAAAATTCAATAAGTAATATAACTAAATATAATGAATATTTTTGTTTATATATTTTTAAGTTTTTTATTAGCTTTTAATAAAATTATTTCAATCTTGATATTGAAAAAAAAAATCTTTTAATAATGAACAAAAAAGTTAAAAAATTTTATCTTAATAAAGGTTTATGATTTGCTGTGATTTATGCGAGGATTGGTTCCATGGAGAATGTGTTGGAATTTCTATCAACAAAGGAAGGGAAATGGAAAAAACTGGTGAAGAATGGTGCTGTGATAAATGCAAATGTATTATTTCAAATTATTACATTCTTTTTGGTAAAAATATATTTTTTCAATAGTTTGAAAATTAGTTATGTTTTTTTTTAGCAGTTTCTCAACAAAATGTTTTATCTTCTAAGTCACCATTAAACAGTCCTTTAAAAAAGGAAGCATGTAGTAGTTTTTCAGAAGAAAGTTTACATGCTGGTAGCTCAATGTCAAATGAAAATTTATCAAGTAATGATTCTGAAAAATTATGCACAGATTTAAAAGATCTTACAGTCGTCACAGATCACGCAGAAAGCACTGATTTGGCAAAGTCAGATATTTCCAGAAGAACAGTTCTTGAAAAATTAAAAACTGATAGGGTTAAAGATACACTTGAGAAGATACGAGCTCGTAGAAGAGAATCTAGAAGCAATGATCTAATTAAGTTTGAGCAAGTACCTACTCAAAATGAGAACAGAGAGTTTAAAAGAAATTTATCTTTTGGAAGTGATCATTCTGATGACCCTAAACGAAAACAGGTAGAAGAACAAATCAAAAATAAGGTATTTCCTTGAGTTTTTTTTTTTTTAATTTAATAGAGTTCTATTCATTATGTTTATAAGGTTGTAACTTTTTTATTTTGTAACTGTTCATTATGTTTATAACTTTTTGAAGTGGTTTCTCAAGATTTTTCAGCATGGAAAATAATTATTTAATTATTTATCAATCTATATAATCAACTAACACCAAAAGTATTTTTTTGTGTGTCTTCTACGACCAGCACTTTTGTGATTGTTGTTCATAATATTCCACTTTGTCAATATCTTTTTTTTAAAGTACCTAATAACAATCTTACATTTTGTGTGTGTGCGTGTGTGTTATTTACATAGGATTAAAAAGTAGTTAAAAAAAATAAAAATAAATAACTCCATTTTTGAGCAAAACAAATGTTTTTAAAAACCTCTATTCCTATTTTGAAGTTTTTATCATTTTTGTTGTTAAGTTAAAACTCTTTTAACATTTGTTGCTAGGTTAAGTAGTTGCAAGTAACCACAATTTAGGATTAGGAAAGCAAAGAAAAGCAGTCAATAGATGACTTAAAAAACTTGTATGAGTTGTATGAGTCAGAAAAATGTGCTTGAGAGAATTCCAATCCACTGGTGTTTAAGGAAGCTGTTTCATCATTGGATCTCAGTGTTTATGGCTATTATACATTAATTTGCAGACTCCAATAGTCACATTCCTGAAGACTGCAATAGTCACATTCCCGGCCAAGGCATATATTTATGTATCATTTCACCTTTTTTCTTGAAATCAGCTTTGAATCTTCTGAGTACTATTTTATGTGCATTTGCTTTGTGTTATATTCGCTAAGCGCCATACTTTTTGTTCTATATAGTTCTCCTTCACAAGAGTCTCTTTTTGACGATGTTTTTGATCTCCTTCACAAGACTGCTCTCTTTTTGACGATGTTTTTGATCTCCTTCACAAGACTGCTCTCTTTTTGACGATGTTTTTGATCTCCTTCACAAGACTGCTGTCTTTTTGACGATGTTTTTGATCTCCTTCACAAGACTGCTGTCTTTTTGACGATGTTTTTAATCTCCTTCACAAGACTGCTCTCTTTTTGACGATGTTTTTGATCTCCTTCACAAGACTGCTCTCTTTTTGACGATGTTTTTGATCTCCTTCACAAGACTGCTCTCTTTTTGACGATGTTTTTGATCTCCTTCACAAGACTGCTCTCTTTTTGACGATGTTTTTGATCTCCTTCACGAGACTGCTCTCTTTTTGACTTTGTTTTTGATTTCCTTCACAAGACTGCTCTCTTTTTGACGATGTTTTTGATCAAATTGACTAAAAATTTTCTCTTTATCCTCCAGCTTGTTGTTGTTGATGACTTTAACATTTTTTACACAGAATAAATTGGTTCTAGTACCACTGACCCTGCTGGGTCAAAAGCTTAAAATGTTTGTTTTTCTCAATATCTTAGGTAAATAATTATGTGACTAATTGTCCAGAAAATCCTAATCACTTATTTTATTCATTGGTTTGTGTCTTGTGTTTGACTCATGCTATGATCTCTCAAAACATATATCTCTTAATTCTTCTTAATTTACCCTTTCATTGCATTTCTTATTGCTATCTAAAAGCAGACTTGGGTATTTTTGATTTTCTTTGCGACTTTTGATTTTCTTTGCGATGGTTTCTGATCACTCTGACCTGCTGAACTATTGTTCAATCTCCTTACAATTCTTTAAATCTTTAATTGATACAAAATTTAATCTACTGCTGACATGTTTATAGTTATAGCAGAAAGTTTCATTTTTATATTAGAGGCAATGGGTATGGCTCTTGTCATATCAAAATCTTTCCATAAAGTCTGCCATGCTGGTCTATTTTAATTTATACTTACCTTCTGTTGTTCCTAATCTATACTAATACAAAGTTGCTTTACTTGACAGTGGAGACTAAAATTCATCTTTTCTTTGCTTAGAACAACTGATCATCAACTCAAACATTGGTGTTATTTCTCTTTCTATCTTCATGTTTTCCTGACTCATACAAGTCATTTTGTATTCTGTCAAATTCATGAAATCAATGATCTTGACTGTTTTAATTTAAAATAGATGAATCTTTAAAAGAAAGTTATGAAAACTTGATTTTGAATTTTTTAAGGTTATTTTCTCGTTGTTTTTTTTTTTTTTTTACAGAATTTTTTGAAAGCGTTCAAATTTTCAAAATAAATAATAAAATTTTTTAAAAGTTTAAGAAGATAATTTTAAGCAATCATAAACAAAAAAACATTCAACTTTTATTTTTGGATGTCAAAATAGAAATTTTTTAATTTGTTGTTTTGCCCGGTTGTTATTTTCCTGTTTATTGTTTATTTATTATTTTCCTGGTTGTTATTTTCCATGCTGATTTTTAAGTTACATATAAGAAATTCATGTTATTAGAGTTATAGTTGGTTCCTTTTTGTAGTGATGATTAAAAAATTTCATTATGACATAATAACGAATTCATAACAATATTTTAACGTTGAAAAATTTAATAATGTCATAATAATGATTTAATAATGACATCATAATGTAAAACTTTAAATTACAATATTTAGTAAAAAAAGTACTTAATAAAAAATGTTACTTGTTAGTCTTAATCAAAATATGTATTATGAAACAATCTTTAATGATATAATAGATGTTGTATTATAATGCATTTACTTTTAGCTTTAAGTTTAAAAAATTTAGTTGTTTGTAATTATATATTTTAAACTTAAAAGGTCAAAATGACTCCAACTCCACAAAAGTTGAAAAATCAGACATGTTGTATTCGTGAAGAATGTACACGCAGTGTTATGAAAGGTTCAATATATTGCAGCCGGGAATGCATTTATAAGTAACTTTTTCACTTTTTTTAAGTTTTTATATAAAATATGTGGTTCTCTTTCAAAAGTTTTAAATAAAAAAATTGTTTAACCCTACTTTCAATTTATTGTTATTACCTGTATAAATGACTAAAAATTGTTTTATTTAGGTATGCCAATGAATCAATTAAGTTTTTAGAAGAAGAAAAAATAAAGTCTGTTAATTCTCTAAAATCTCCAGACAAAATGGTACAAATATTTTTCTTTACTTTTAGTTTGTCACTAATTTTAGAGTTTGTGAATTAAACACCTTTAGTAGCTTCCTACTTACTAAGCAAATGACATAATAATTTATAGCTGTACCAAGGGAATGTAAATAACAAATTGTGAATTGTACTTGCTCTTGGTACAGTATTTACAAAAGTTTCTTTTACCATTTAATGGTTATTATCTAATTAGCAAGAAACTTACACACATTTTTATTAAAACATAATTTTATATAAAAGAAATTTTTTGACTTTGCAAATAATATTGCATATACCTTATTTTTCTGTTTTCTATTAAAAAATTTGCAATATTTTTATAGAAGAAATAATATTACAATGCCACAAAACTAATTAAGCTAAGCTACAGCTTAATAAATATCAGTGCATAGAGCTGCATAAATATTAACTAAGCTTTTGCTACATTAGTAGTAACAGTTTAGTTAATATTTATGCGGCTCTATGAAGAACGCCTCACTAACATTACGGTGATTTCAATTGAAAACGAGTATGCCAAGACTTTATCGTACGAAATCTCTAGTTTGGCAAAGATGAAAGCAAAATGATTATAATTTTAGTTTTTATTTAGTTTAGGAAAGTTTTTAGTAAGCAGTATTTGAGTTTTTAGTAAACAGTATTTATGAAATAATTCAAGTTTCATATAAAAGTTAAATTCAATATAAAATACATTTTTTATTGAATTTAATTTTTACAAATACTCAATTTTAATATTGTTGAAATATTTTCTTATACAGAACATTAGCATTGTCAGTTTTATTCGACCAGTTTGTAAAAGGAATGAGTGCTGGGACTCGTGTTTTTGAGTACATTTGAGAACTTTAATTTAAACCAAAACTCAATCCTGTGTTGCTTGTGATTTAGCTAAGTCTAACCTTTTTACTGTAAATGTTCCTTCCTGCTTAGGAAGTTTTTATGCAGATCTTTTTGTTTTCCTGACTTAAAATATTAAAACCACCCATTATAGAGTTTTGCACCCATAATGTAAAATGTTAGAAAAAAATTAGGTTTGCAACTATGGAACTAAAAAGCTAGTTGTAAGTTTTTGTTTGTTTTGATTTGATTTTCTCAATAACTTAAATTTAGGTGGCTAAGACCTTGCTGTTTAGAAGTGCCATACATGTAAAAACCAACTTCATTTGCAATATGATTTTTCATCTGATGTTTGTATATTTTTTGTAGGGATTGATTTGATTGTTTTATTTACATCTCTTTTTTTACGAAGTAAAAATGAACCATAATCAGTGCTACTAGACACTGGTGATGGTTCATTGGTGTCAAGCAGCCTTTCACTGAGAAGGATTAACATTTCACTAAAAAAGATTATGATGCGTGTTACCATGGCCTACTTTATTTATACGGCCGGATATTTTGCATTTTGAAGGAAAAAATAGAAGGCCAGTTTTTAAATCGTAATGTTTCAAAAACTTAATCTGTTTTGAACATTTTCAAAATTAATTTACTTTCTAAATTTAAAATGTCCACAAAAGTAGTATATATTCATAATTTTAAATATTAAAGGAACATTTATTAAGAAATAAATAAATAAAGAGTCTTTATTTTATAATTTAGAATTATTAAAAACAATGTAAGAAACAAGAACAGTTATGAAAAATAAAATAATTATAATATATATATTTTATTAAATTTTCTCTTTTTAAAAGATTTTACATGATCAACAGCTAATTCGCTGGTAGAGAAAATTCTTTTATTATTATAAAAAAATGTTGACAACAATTCTTCCAGCAAGTTTTATCCCAGTTTTCTCATGCATGGGACAAGAAAAAGTCTGAAAAGAATCACAAAAGTGGTTTAACAAATATTCTAAAGCTTGTCGTGCATGTAAACTAAATTTCTTTATTTTGTTATAACAGTAGTCAATTATAGCAAAGGATCTGCAAACATAATCCAAAAGTGACGTGAAGGAACAGTGATACCACCCCTAGTGAGACCACCCCTAGAAATAATTGTTAAATAAGTATGATCAGGATTGCTATCATCAATATTGACACAATTAAAAATTCTTTACAACATGTACCAAAACGTTTTTTATGTTTCTTTGGTATATAACCAGCAATATGAGCACCTACTTCCCTACTTTCTGGTGCAAGTGTCATGATTTTTGGAGTATACTGAGTTTTATCAATATCAAGAAGTAAGTTTTTCAAATCTGTTATAAAATTATTTTCTGACTCAAGAGGCACTTTCAAAGTATCATCAAAGTTAATACTTTCTTTAACTATACTTTTGGTTTTTAATATTTTTTCAGAAATAGTGACATCTTTTAAAATTCACCAAAAATCTTCCACCGCTCATTTATCTATATTGTCCAAATCTCCTTTCTAATGGGTCACTTTGAAATCTCGCTGTTAAAACAAAGTGATATCCATCATTAAGCAAGTCCTCGATCAATGAGGCATGACTATTAAGTGTTCTTATTAGTGCTGCAGCTGTCTGAACACTTAAAGTAAACTTCTCACAGTTTGGTATCTTTCGTGATTGCCAAACTTCAATCCAATGTGCCATTTCCCGAAGAAATTCAGGTTTTTTATCACCAGAAACGACTCCAATACCTAAAATATTACATGTTGAATACTGACGTTTAGAATTTGATAAAACCCACCACTTGTTAAATAATGTAAGAAAATCTGCACTACTTTTAAGATCAGGAAAATATGAGTGAATCACTGCAGATGCAGTTTCATTGAAAATTGCAAGTGCTAAAGAAACATTTTGTTTAAAACTGCCAGGATTTTGTTTAAAATTGCCACTTTCATTGTTATTTTTGGTGCTTTATGCAAACCAGCATCAAGAGCGAGGTCTTTTTCATAAATATTGTGGAAGGTATTCCATTTAATTTCTCCCCCACATCCAATTATAGAATCTTTAAATCCATTAAAGTTAAAATCTGGAAATAAAAATCTTTTACAATTTAACAAATTATTCCTGATGTTTTTAATAAGATGTACAACATCAAAACAGAGGTAAATTATTTTTAAATTGTAAGTAAAAAACAAATCTTCGGCTTGTTGATTCGATGCACAAAGGATTTTTTTAAAACAAGAAACATTATTGTTATTGTGTGTGACAACAGAATGGTTGTCATACACAATAACTCTAACATTAAATTCATATTCAGTTAAAATACAAAGACATTCAAAAATTTCTTCTTTCAACCATTCAGCATTGGTTGTTTTTTCAGGAGACATTTTGATCACATATGGAATGTTTTGTTTCAGGCCAACTATCATAAAACAAACTATTCCCTTATACATTTCTCCAGACTCATCACTACCAATCATCTCTCCAGCAAAATACTCCTCACACTTTTGCAAGTACATTTTATCAAAAATCAGTAAAAGTCTTGAGATATCTCACCTTCTAATTTTAAACGTTTTGCACAACTTAGAGCATCAATATTTCCACTAGTTATTTTTTTAAGTAATGATAATGATGGTAAAGGCAATTCTTCACGCAAAAGTTGGTATGACTGCATAGAAGTATATTGCAATATCAGTGAATACCTTATAATATTGGCTGAATAAATAGGTTTTTTCATATATTTAATTTGCTGTAATTAAGTCAATACAGATAAAAATTGTTCGGCTTGTAATTTAATGTAGGTAAGAAAATTATGAAGCATACTTTTACAAGATAAACGACTATCTCTTCCTTGGCGAAACCACTGAGGCAATGGCAGAGGTGAACCTCTGTAAAATAGTTTAACATGCATCTCATTGTTTACACGAATGCACTCTGTAACCTCTGGAATAGATAAAGTACTATGACTCAATTTATAAAAAATTACATGATCATCATACTTCAAGAATGAAAAACCATCTGGAGCAAAACTGTCAGTAATATCGTTAAAGCTATTAATCAAATCATTCAATAAAAACTGTTCATATTGATCTGGCTGAAATATTCTTTTAGTTGGTGGTTTTCTTAATGAATAAGAAGATTTTATAAATTTGTGCAATCAAAAATAGTTGGAATAGGATTAAGTTTTTTTATTAATCTAAAACGTTGATTCTTGTTACCTTTCTTATAATATTTTTTTTTAAATGTTTGATACATATAACAGAACAATTAGTTGGTGTCCAATCTTTTCTATTTACAAATTTAATCCAATTTTTTTAACTCTTCAATTTTTGGAAATGAAAATACTACTGTAGATACTTCGCCATAATTTTGATAACTTGAACGACAATTTACAACGCAACATTTGTTAACCATCTTTTTGAACTTCCAAAGCTGCTTTCTTAAAAACACTTTTCCAGAAAACTGGCCTTCTATTTTTTTCTTCAAAATGCAAAATATCCGGCCGTATAAATAAAGTAGGCCATGGTGTTATACATCTTAACCTTTCTCAGAACATTTAAATTTTTTCTAATTCTAGCATTCAAAACACCCAAAAAAATTAATGATTTTACACATTTTTGTCTAATCTAATCCCACATTATTTTGTCTAATCTAATCCCACATTATTTTGTCTAATCTAATCCCACATTATTTTGTCTAATCTACTCCCACATTATTTTGTCTAATCTAATCCCACATTATTTTGTCTAATCTAATCCCATATTATTTTGTCTAATCTAATCCCACATTATTTTGTCTAATCTAATCCCACATTATTTTTACAAATTCAATATTCAAATAAAGATCTCTAAACTTCAATATTAAAACTTTCATTATTTTTGGATAATTTTCACATGTTTTTAGCATTTTTGCACTTAAAAAACATTTTTGATAAAATGGTTAAACAACCTCAATCTTTTTGTTACTTTTGAAATTTGTTCATAAATAAAAATCAAAATTTTAAATTAATTTTAGCATATTCTAATTTTTTTTTTTTTTAGTGAGGTGTAAATAAATTACATTTTAAATTTTACACCTAACATTCATTTATTATAATATTTTTACAAGTAATATAATTATGACCTTTATTACGAATTTTTAAAAAATAAAAAAAAGTTTATGTCGAAATTTATTTTGAAATTTTTCTTTATGAAAATGACGACTATCAAAAAAATAGAAATTTTAGCATTTCAACTTTTTGAAATTACAATCATTAAATTACCATAAATTATCAAGTATTCATTTACAGATAAAGAATAAACAGCTGAATAATTAGAGAATAAACAGCAGTATTTAGCTTGAATTTACAGTTGTTATCGCCTGATATATATTTACTCATATATATATATATATATATATATATATATATATATATATATATATATATATATATATATATATATATATATATATATATATATATATATATATATATATATATATATATATATATAATTACTTATAATCTTTACTTTGAAAAATTAGAATGTTAATTATACTTTTGTTGAATACAAAAGTATCTCTTCCATAGGTACCTACTAAAGTAAAACATTATTTTGCATCACTTATAGCAAAAACTATGATAATACATGTTTAACAATACATATTTAGTATCTAAGACCCTAATAGAAAAGTTTCACTCATTTTCAATTTTGTTTACTAATTTTTTCCTTTTGGACTTAGTGTCATTAAACGACTTGATTGTGACATACCTCAAATAGTCTTAATTGTTTCATTTATAATGTTGTATACTGTTGTTCTGCCCAATCAAAAATAAAAAGCTTTTGTTTGCTCTGAATCCCCAATAGCCAAGTATCTCATTTTCACAGTTTGAGGTAGATATGGTTTCGCTTACTGAGGTAGATATGGTTTCATTTTTTGAGGTAGATATGGTTTCACCTTCTGAGGTAGATATAGTTTGACAGCTTTGACAAGGTTTTTTTGTAACGCTACAGCGCTCGAAATAACGGCCGATCAACGATCAATGATCGTCGACTTTTGGAAAAAATGAAATTTTGAACTCCCAAAATTAATTATGGCCGATCAAATTTGATCGCCTACATTGCATGTCACACATTAGAATAAAAAATTTTTTAACATTTAAAAAAGAATCTTAAATTTATTAAATTAGCATTAAAAAAAAATATGTTCATTATTGCTGAATTAAACAAGTTTTTAGACCAATAATAATCTTTTAGTTCACATTAAAAATGGTAATTAAAAAGAAGCGCGAAGTTTATTGTAAATAACTTAATAATGCTTTTGATTGGTGGAATAAATATAGCGTTGATTTCGTAACAGTCTTCAGTTCGAAAGTTTATTAACTGTAAAAGAATTATTTTAATAAAGCGAATTCATTTGAATAAAATGAATTAATAACTAGAAAGGTTAACATTTCTTTGATTGTCTGAAAAATAATGAACAAAGCAAGTTTGTGATTCGTTGGAAAACTTCATTTTGAAATCATCGTGACAATTTAAATTGAAAGAAACAGTTTTTGTTTTAAAGTTTTAGAAATTAAATGGTAAGTTTAAAAATAATCTTAAAATGGAAGCATACAAAAAGCGTCAAACATTTATTTCTTTTAAAAGAAACTTAGTATCTGGAACACCCGCTGAGAAAAAACTAAAAACTTATGACAGAAAGCTACAATTACAAACAGCTAATAAATGGAAAGTCTCTACGCTTGCAAAATATAATGCTAATGATTGGCTTGAAATTGAAAGCGTTGACGGAATAGTTACAGCGCTAAAATGCAAAGTATGCCGAGAATATGCATCGCAAATTCAGATTTTAAAAGGCTACACTCCGGAATGGAGCTGTGGAAAAGGATGTAGTCGATTGCAACATAGTTCTGCAATCACGCATGCAGAGGGAATGTCTCATCAGAAGGCTTTTGAGATTTTTATGAAAACGAGAGGCATGAATTTGTGCGATCGAATTGAAAAACTAAACGAGTTGCAGCAGGAAATGCGGCAAACAGACAATTTATCCCGTATTCAAACCATGAATAGTAAAGACTTGGATTTGACAAAAAAAAAATTTGAGGTCGCTTACTTTATAGCAAAAGAAGAACTATCACTTTGCCTATACCCAAAAATAATTCAATTAGAAGAGAAACATGGTGTAGTTTTTGGTCAGGCTTATAAAAACGAAAACACATGCGGAGTATTTATTGACTACATTGCTCTTAGTTTAGCGATAGATCTCAAAAATAAACTAAATACTCGAAATTTTTTCACTATTTTAATTGACGGTTCTAACGACGTTTCAATTAAGGAAAAAGAAGCTATATTTGCCGTTACTTTTAATCCGGCTCCAACTGGAAAATCTGAAGTAAACGTTGAATGTGATTTTCTTTCACTTTTGGATGTTGAGTATGGAACTTCGCACGGAGTTTTCAACACCATAAAAAAGTCACTCGAGAATATAGAAGTCGTAAATTGCAATAAAAAACTAGTTGGATTTGGTGCGGATGGCGCATCCGTTAACAGAGGGAGCAAGTCGGGCGTTAAAATGTTACTCAAGGCTGAAGTCCCCTGGATCACGTTTGGCTGGTGTGTAGCACATCGTCTCGAGTTATCATTAAAAGAAAAATTAGGAAAAACAGCCTCATTCAATGACGTTGATTACATGATTTTAAAAATGCATTACATTTACCAAAAATTCCCCAAAAAGTTAAGACAGTTGGGTGAACTCGTTTCTATTTTAGAAGATGATGAATATAACATTGGTGGTTACCGACCTAAGAAAGCCTCCGGTATTTTCTTTTTTTTGCTTGATTTATTTGATTTATGCGTGATTTATGCGTGACGCCTATATTTTTAGTTTTTGCAAGTATAAAGTAAATTATAAATTGTATAATCTTGTTTCATTTTTAGGTACACGATGGATTTTATTTAACACATCTGGAAAATATGACTGAAGATATAACATTTGCCAATGCTGAAAGAGCTAAGTTTAAAGGATACCACAAAAAGTGGATTCATGCTAGAATGCCCCTTTATATCGCGTTGTTTATTGAGATTTTAGCACCAGCAAAGATGTTGTCAAAATGTTTTCAAAGTGATGAGATAGATGTGTTGGCTTCATCAGGGTTTGTTCAACAAGCTAAAAGCCATTTAAATCGTATTCAAAAAACAAAGTTTATTAATTTGCCAACAGTAAAATGTTTTCTCGCCAAAGTGACTGAAAAAGAAGGAAAGTTTTATTTCCAGGGTGTTGCACTTAACGACTTTGTAAATGCTAAACATTTAGTAAAAAAGTCTAAATCTATTCATATCGAGTTGGTAACAAATTCAATCATAGAGCGTTTGGAAACAAGCGATACTATTACTGATATGTATGGTACAAAAGTTTTAAATACAG